AATCAAGACGAATTAATTAAAACTATGCCCAAAAAAGCCCCAAAAATATTTAAGGATGATTGTCGCATAGATTGGAGTCTACCAGCAGAAAAAATTGCCAACTTTATTCATGGTTTGAGCCCTTATCCAGGTGCTTGGACGATGATAGATTTAGCTGAAAAGGCAGAAGTACAGCAGCTCAAAATACTTGAAGTCAACTCCTCTGATCAGAATTTCCCACTAAAACAAGGCGAAGTTAAAGTAGATGAGAAGCAATTGTTTATGGGAACAGCCACAATTCCATTACTTGTTAAAGAGTTGCAAATCGCAGGTAAAAAGAGAATGAAAACAGGGGAATTATTAAATGGAGTCAATCTAGACGGAGCTAAATTAGATTGAACATTCAATAATCTTTTCATAAAAACTCATATTCAATTTTTTTACTTTATACATTATCGTTCAATACACCTAACACGAATAAGAAATGCAAAGGAACTGGAAAATTTTTTAAAGCTTAATAATTATATTTATTTCAATTCCTTTAACAACTAGTCAATTAATGAAAGGAATAAGTAAATAAATTTTAAGTAATGAAAAAACAGTTTCCATTTTTTTTAATCCTATTGATAATTCTTATTGCCTGTAATTCTTCAGATTTATCAAAAGTAAAGTGTAATAAAGCTGAATTTGAATCTCCTGTGAAAGTCCAAAATATTGAAGGAATGCTTTGGATAGATGGCGGTAACTTCACTATGGGGAGCATAGCTAAAACAGCTAGTAAATCGGAAGGTCCACTTGTAAAAACAAAAGTTGATGGTTTTTGGATGGATGAAACAGAGGTTACCAATGATGAGTTTCAGGAGTTCGTAAACGAAACAGGCTACATCACTGTTGCAGAGCGTCCAGTGAATTGGGAAGAACTAAAAAAACAATTACCTACAGGCACTCAAAAACCATCGGATGAAAATTTATTAGCCGGAAGTTTAACTTTTTATAGCACTAGCAGAGCTGTTGATTATAACAACATAGCTAATTGGTGGCAATGGACTACCGGAGCAGACTGGAAACACCCGAATGGACCTGGTTCAAGTATTAAAAATAGGGGTAGCCACCCCGTGGTGCATATTGCTTTTGATGATGCACAAGCCTACGCTAAATGGGCTGGAAAACGCTTACCTACTGAAGCAGAATGGGAATATGCAGCTCGCGGTGGCGAAGGGCATCAAGAATTTGCTTGGGGTAATGAATTAAGTCCCAATGGAAGATATTTAGCCAATTTTTTTCAAGGAATATTTCCGAATAAGAATACTAGTCTAGATGGTTTTAGAGGCAGTGCAGCTGTGAAAAGCTTTCCTCCAAATGGTTTTGGGTTGTATGATATGATTGGCAATGTTTGGGAGTGGACTTCGGATTGGTATAGAGATGATACGCGAGACATGCAAGCTTCAATGAGCAAGGTTTGCTATAATCCATCTGGCCAAAAGAAAGTTATGATCCACAAGAGCCTTTAACGCCAAAAAGAGTTATTAAGGGAGGATCGTTTTTGTGTAGTGAAAAGTATTGCAGCAATTACAGACCAAGTGCAAGAATGGCAGCTGCATTTGATTCAGGTCTAGAACACTTAGGCTTTAGATGTGTGAAGGATTAAAGAGTAGATCTTTGAAGTTAGATACCTCAAATTGATAATTTAAGAATACTTGAATATATCCTGTAAGAGTTATGAACCTTTTAGTAAAAAAATTGTGGTTATAAAGTTGGATGGACTAATTTTTAATTGCTAAGTCTATCGCTCTATATTGCTTAAGTAGTTGATTTACTTCTATTTCTTCTTCAACATCATGTCCCATTTTATTGAGCAAGATTTTTGTCGTTTCCATTAAAGGTTTATTCTCAAAATAATGATCCCTCAAAAAATGAACAAACTTTAAGGTCTTAAAAGCATTAAACCATTGAAAAAAGCGCTTTACAAAGCGGGTTACATTGGTAGATTGATTGCGAATTTCCTTTAGCTTCTTATCTAGATTTTCAGCACCAATAAATTCTACTAAAGTGGATTCAAAATGCGGTTTCCCAGTATACCACTCTTCCACATTAGCAAAGCATTTCTGTAACACTTCAAAAATTTCTATTGCATAAGAAAGTTCAATCTGTCTGCTCCCTTCCTCCATTTCTTTTATGGCACGTCCTGTGCCGAACGGCACACGATCGGAAGAACGCGGTGATGGAATTACCATAGTTGAATTCAATTCGGAGAGCGTTCCTTTTGAAATAAATTTCTGTAAGAAATAGAAATCCTCTCCTGCTTTGCGCTTATTCATCCCCCCTTCTTTACAATAAGCGCTCACTCGAACAGCCATTGAAGAGACAATGGTATGAAAGGCAAAAGGCAGCTTGGCAAATGCTAATCCATTTTTGTAATAACGCAAATGCAGTTCATAATAAGCAATCCCTTTGTAAACCTCAGAATTAAACTTAGTCCCAGTTAGTGGGTGCTCAAAATGTATAGAACAGGCTTCAGTTTCTAGATTTTCTTGAAAGTGCTTTTCAATTTCAGTAAAATAGTTTTGTTGACATTTGCTGTCAGCATCAAAACAAACAATAACCCCATCCTTCCCTAAATTTTGAAACCTTCTAACGGCCTCATCCATGCCTATCTTACGAGCTAAACCTACTCCTGATTGCTTTTTTGGTAAATTATATTCTTCAATAAGATACAGACTAAACTTAGCATCTGGTTGTTGCTGATACCAATGTTTTAGTTCCGTACAGCCCTTTTTAGTTGTTGCAATTACCTCCTCTGAGTCGTTTTCAGATGCATTGAAAACAACAATAACTTCTACAAATTTTTGAGGTAAATCGCAGCTATTCAAGCTTTGTATCGTTGGAATAAGTGATTCTTCATTGTAGGCAGGAATCACCACAATAATTCCAAGACTTGCCTCCGATGGTTCTGAAAATAAACTAGGCCTTACAGCCTGCTTTTCGAGATAAGCTAAAAACATTTAAGGGTATAAACGTTTCATTTTCCATTCGTTATTGCTTTTTTCATAACATATCCGGTCATGTAAACGACTGGAACGACCTTGCCAAAATTCAAAAAAATGAGGTACCATCAAGTATCCACCCCAGAAGTCAGGTCGCGGAATTTGATCTGTATTTTCAAATTTTTCTTCAAATGCTTTTAAGCTTTTTTCCAAGCGGTCTCTACTTTCTAATTCATCACTTTGGTTAGATGCCCAAGCTCCTAATTGGCTTTCTCGGGGACGAGAAGCAAAGTAATTATCGGATTTTAGGGTATCTAATTTTTCAACTCTTGCTTTTATGCGAATTTGACGATCCAACTCAGCCCAGAAAAAGTTAATGGAAACCTGTGGGTTCTTTTCAAGATCTTTTGCTTTTTTACTGCTGTAGTTGGTATAGAAAATTAATCCATCTTCAGAAAAATCCCTCAACAATACTACTCTGCTGTCAGGCTGCTGATCTACCACCGTTGAAATTGTAAAAGCATTCGGTTCCTTCAATTTTTCATCAAGAGCAGTTTTCATCCAATTTTCAAAAACAGCATATGGGTTTTTTGGCATTTCTGATTCACTTAATTCACCTGAATTATAATCTCGTCTTACGTTTTTTACTTCTTTTCTTATATCACTCATTTCAAGACTATTTTTAATTTCTCAAACACTTCATCTACCCTTATGTTTTGCATACAAACGTTGTTTGTGCAAGGCGAAAAACGATGATTAAAGACGTTTACACAAGGACTGCATGCTAATTTTTTATAAATTACATGAATATTTTCCCCTACAGGTGCAAATAAATCAGGAGTTTCTGGTCCAAACAACACAATTACTTGTGTTTTAAAAAGTGAAGCGAAATGAGCAGGACCGCTATCGTTAGTTATCACTGCTGACGACAACTGATCATTGACTTTGGCGTTTCCTGGTGTGCGAGGAAATAGTGAGTCGCGTTTTGTGGTTGCATTCACCAACCTTATGTAGTTTGCCATTCAGGTTTCCTTCTATATAAGCCAGTATAAGCCCTTGAAAAAGTTCGTAGCTGACTGGTTTCTTGGCTTCCTCTATGCATCCTAGAAAAGAGGGATCCACAAAAGCCTTCACTTGGAAAACAAGGTGTCTTTCCAAGGGCCCAAACAACACCACAGCAGCTACTAGAAGGGTAGACGGGGGGGGGGGGGGGGGTTGTTTACGGGTGCCATGTTCCAATGTCCATCCTTACCAAAAGGTATGTGTGACAATAGGTATGTTCATTTGAGCGAATCTAGGACCTTGGAGCAAACCTGGGCAACGGGCACGGGAAGAAACAGAACTCGCACCATCTTCTAAAGCAATTAACATAAATGGCGCAGGTAGAGGATTACCCAGTACCGTCTACGTTTTACCAAACTGACCTACAAGGGTACATGTGTGGGGTCAATGTGATGAGAACTGAAGATCCCAGATCAGATTTGAAGGCCTTACCATGTTGGGAAATTTCAAGGCGAGGTTCACGAGAAGATATCACTGTGCATGGGAGCCATCCCACAAAGCCCTTTTCGAGTAATCCGGGCACCCCTCAAAAAAGGGTTACCTACAGGGCCTCAACCGGGGCAAGTGGGTTACCATGGGTGCTACCCGCTCATCTGAATCTGACTCACGGATTGATCGCCCACAATCGCCACCCCGGCCCCTTACAGCCTCCCCCGCCACATTCCCCCCCACACTTCCCCACCCCACTCCCCCGCCATCTGACAAACGAATCGATGGCCCTCCCATCACACCACCCACTCCCCCCTCCCCACCCCCCCCCCCCACTCCCCCCCCACCCCACTCCCCCACCTCCCCCCCCCCCCACTCCCCCTTGTTCCCCCACTCCCCCTTGTTCCCCAACTCCCCCTTGTTCCCCCCCACCCCCCCACCCACACCTCACCCCGCCCGCACTCCCCCGCCACGACCCCTTCGCCTCAGCTCCTGGGGCGGCTCCAGCGCCAGCAGCCGCTGCAGCGCCAGCAGGAAGCTCACGTCCCGTTGCGCTGAACCCCCGTGGAGCGCCTGCTGAGAGCGGTTTCCCTGGTAGATGAGAACAAAACTACCAGGTAAACCAGGAATCGAAACCCATCTATTTTTCCATCAAGGCAACTAAAAAGGCCACCTATGTGGTTGAGCCGTCTTTTGCTCGATGTCATGGGCTGGATCCGGGTTTGGAGGAAGTCTTTTTGGACTGTCCCACGACCAAACTGGGGCTGTGTTGTGTATGTGGGGCATCTTGCTTGCTTTTGCTTGAAGGTTTTTTTTTGGGTGAGGAAAGAGGGTTGCTTCCTTGGTGTGTGAAACTGCTCCGTGCTTGTTGTTATTTCCCTGTCGTGTTCAGCTTGTTTCCAGCGATAATCATGCCGTTATTTACCTTCCTTTCAAATACGATTTCCGTTTGTGTAATTTTCACAAAAAGGCTCCTGCAACCATACTTTGCATACGTCGATATAATTCGGGGGGGGCTGATGTGGCGAGGGGATCTTAGGATGGACGGTTGCCGAAACTGCGAAACAAAGTGCCATGCTCCCGGTGGCTCCAAAGCTCCCCCCTGGGCTTTAGTTCCTTGCCCCCATCAAAACAAAGGCAAGGAGTCCCAATTTGGATGACAAAACAGGGAGCCAAACAGAAAAAAGTGGTTTCCCTTTATTTTGGTGGAAAAAGCAACATGTGTCAACTGGTTGCAAAATGAATCTGTTCAGGGAGCCCTGATAAACAATGGTGGTTCTATGACCCCCCCGTTGTTTTACTGGTAGCTGAACCTCAGGGTCCCTGATTCACGGCAATTTTTTGACTCCCTGCTCCCAGCTCCTGGCTCCCTTCCAACCAGCCAAGCACCCCGGCTTGGAACTGTTGAGACCTGGTTGGCCACCTGTGGGTGACAAATGCAACCAGGTCCCACCCTCAACAAATGTCTTTGATAGCTTGCCAGAAAGAAGTCCAAAATTGCCCTAATCTGCCACCTTTCATTCTTGTTTGATTTGCTTGGTCTCAAGGACTTGCGAAAAATGATCGGCCGATGGGGAACATAAAAACAAAAATGTACCAGTGGTTTGGTCGGCCAGACTGCAAATCGGGCTTCATCCGTGCCAACTGGTGCCCAATTGAAGTGGATTTGCAACAATGCACAATATTGTTGACCAACGAAAAAGGACAACAAACATACACACACAACAAAAGAGTCCTATTCATAGGCAAGGGCTCCCCTCCAAAAGTGATCCATCTCACCGAAAAGGGACCACCCAAATATGAATCAAAGGGGTTGGTCAATCAGATCCAATCTTTCTAGGCTGTCCTCAGATCCCCCGCAGAAGAAGTTGAGCTTTTAGTGGGGTGAAATACGCAAATCCCACCACTCAACACTAAACGACTAAGCTAAGGAACCGGATGGGAGCCAAGTTTGAGCGAGCCACCGAGCCGAGCAATTGCCTCGTAGCTGGCCATCAGCTGCCGCTTGCACTCGTAGAATGCCACCAGCGCCTCCTCTCGCTGAGGGCCCGCCAGGTGCTGGGCGCCTGAGCAACTTTGTGGTGTCCAAGTGAGAACAAGGGGTGACGTGACCTGGCTGGTTCTCAGTCACGCAGGGTTCTTAAAAAAAAATCCCCTTAAAGGAAGCCGATGGTTTTTAGGGGTCATTCCCTCATTCAGGACCAGCAGGAAAAGGTAGAAAAGGTCTGCCCAAATCCATGCAAAGAACTAAACGGGCGGACCGGTTTTGGTTGAGACTGTCCCCCTACCCTCCCACTGCCCGCGTGTTGCTTCTGCAACACGTCCGAGAGAAGGCGCTGAAGAAGTGGAGGTTGGAGAGGTTGTTGAGGAAGGTCACCGTGTCGGCGCTTTGCGGCAACGGGCCATTCGAATAGCACTCCTGACAGGAATGCTCCTTCTGGGCGGCATTTTTTTCAAAGGATGTGGCTCCATGTAGCCAGAACTCTTGGTAGCTCCAAAAGTCTCCCTCCTTGAAAAGACGAATTTTGAGCAAGGCCCCCTTCCAACCAGCTAGCCCTGTTTCTTTTGACTTTTGGCAAAAGTGAAAGTCCAAAGATCCAACCAAATAGCCATAAAGCCTAGGCGATTCTAACTCAGCCCCTTTGCGGCTCAAATAAATTCTACCTCAGCCCCTTTGATCCGTGTGAGGAGGGAGGGGGCGGGCCGGAAAGAAACGGAGGATTTTGCCTTCGCTTCCCCTTCAGACAACTTTTTGCATAGAGGTCAGCAGCAACCTAGTAGAAATTCAGGACTTCACAAGGAGCTCGCTTCTTGGGTGGATTGCAAAACGCAACCTTTTTTGGTAAAAAAGGGTCCAAGCCCAAAAGTCTAAAATCCAGGAGATCACCTAAATACAGAAATTGCTGCCATGCTTGCTTTTTCCAGGATCTCAGGAAGTAAGGGTGGCCCTTTTGGTCATCCCCTGCGCCCGTTTTCTGGAGCCCCATCCCAAAGCCCTGACCCCTGGTTTCAATTAACATGAAACACCAAACCCGTGGTGTTCAGAAGCACCTTGTTTTTGAGGCCCCCCTTTTGGTTCTTTCCGTGTTTTTTTTTTTTTGGCAGGGGGTCATCAGCACCTTTTTCTCACGGGGCCTTGGAGCCTGGGAGCCCAACTAGGGCCTTCTTTAAGGCTAAAACAGAAAGCTCATTTCGGCGCAGCCACATGATCTTCAGCACAACCTCTCACCAACAGGAAGCTCACACTGCCATGTCCGTACAGAACCCCTAGCTTTAGCTCCCTCTTGTTCTCCCATCTCCGAGTCCGGCTCCCTTCCAACCAGCGGCTAGTTGTGTGAAAGCTTGGGATCTTGGGAGCCAAGCTGGGGGCTAAAGCGAGTCCATGTTGTTTTCATTCAGAAACCAACCCATGAGTCAATGCGCATGCTTCCTCAGTGGGAAAAAAGGTATGAAATCCAGTCTGAAATCCTCAATGAGCATGCTTCATGAACTTTGCCCATCCACTGCAATTTCGGCAGGAAAAAGGCCACTGAAAAGGTTCCACTACTGTCAAAAGGTGATCCCCTTGAATGGTGGCCACACAGACACCCAATTTTACCAGTCAAGGCTCGACTGCCGGTCTCTCCCAAATGGTTGGCCACAAGATTGGTATCGCAGCCAGCCCGAAGTACAAAGAAGAAACCAGGGGTTCCACAGCCCCGAAACTCGTTCACCAGTGCAGCTAAAAAAAATAAAAATGGTCTTCTCAGAAAGTATGTGGCCCTCCAATGTGGCCCTTCCAATGGAGCAGGCTTCTTTTCATTGCCCCATGGCAGAAAATCCTCCAAGCAAAGCCCAAAGTCCGGCAGAAGGTGGCACATGACTCCAGAAGACAGCGTGTGTAAAGTCCAAGCCAGGCAATGTCTCACCAGAATTCGCGCCGGGTTTCCAATTCAACTAGCTCAACAGTAGTGACAAATTCCTTTTGAAACCAATAGGGGAAAACAACAACATATTCTTAAGCAAATGGAAGTAGGCCACGAAAACAAGTTCCCGGAAGGAACGCACACCAAAGAAAGCAGCTCACGTACATCAATCTGTCTAGCCGTGAGCCTTTTCAAGACTCGGAGCAATCCTGAGCCAAGAAATTTGTGTCCCTAGATAGCCAAGTTGCGATCGCCTTTTTCAGTCACTGTTGTTGGTTTCTGGGGTAAAGTGGATGGAAAAAAGCGATCGCAACTGGCGATCCAGGTCAGATGAATTCGTCAGAGATCAAAAAGGTTCCCCGCAGGTCCTTCTCCAACTCGCCTAATCAGGGAAGTATCCATCAAAATGATTAACGTAGCAACAGGCCCAAACAAAAAAATCCAAGGAAGGCGCTTCACGGGAGAGGTAAGTCAAAAGGCACTGGATGGCATCTGAGTGGTACATGAGAACTGGGAACCCCAGAGCTAACCCCTGGTTGATTTTGAGAGATGGGGGAGCACCCCCTTATAGGGATTCAGACCGCTTTTGCATGGACACCCCTATTGATGGGACGGGTTCATCAATCCGGGGTCAAGAATAGTCCGGCGAAGTCGGGCTAATCCAAACTCTGAGGGTGTTTTGTATTACGCCCTGGGATTACACCCTTGGGAAATGACCCAGAATGGTTCAAAATAACACGGTTTTATCCGGAAATGTGCCTAAGTGGGGTCAATACCCAGTGGACGTATTCCCAGGTTGTAATACAAAAACCTTTAGACAAACTGGGAATCAAATCTGAAGGGATTGGCCAACCTAACCCCAACAAAAGTTGAATCCACGCGCGGCCTTTTGCTCGCAGCCTGCCTCCTTGAGCTTGGTCAGCTTGGCAATGAGCTGACGGGTGTCCGTTTTCGCAGCTTCCGGCGACTGCATGAACTCATTCGCCTGCAGAGCTTGTGGTTGTTTCTTTGGTGGGGGGGTACCAGCTGTACCCTCCCTCCATATTTTTGGCGGGTTTCAGGAAAAGCCAAAATTGGCAAACCGCCATTGTGCGTTCTTCTAGACTTCCCCAACCGCTTTTTGGGCATCGCACTAAAAACAACCAGCTCCGTGGCTTTCAGAAAGCAATCCCATGCAACACAAGATCTAGCAGCCCTGGAGCCCTTTCAAGGGATCCGGTTGTTAAACACATGGAATCCAAGACCGAACACCAGGAACACTCTTGAGCCTGTGCTGTGCGGGATGGGAGTCGAACCCTCTGCCAGGCCCAAACACTGGTAAAAACACCAAAATGATGATGTGTTGCACTAAATGGGAAAGTTACCCATGGGTATTTGGAAGCCAATAATATTGATCAACCCATGCTACGAGGCCAACAGACCTGCGAGCCGCGCCCGTGGAAACCATAGGTCCTCCAGTAGCGGGTTTGGAATAAGGGTACCCCTTTTTTTTTAGGTAGTCAGGTAGTCTATTTTAGTAGGGGAACCCAAAACCAACCAAAACCAACCAACCATTTTTTTCGGTAGTCTATTTTAGTTTAGTAGGGGAACCCTTTCCCAAAAAAGTTGGTGAAAGGGCACTGGGGCAGATTCGGAAAGGACAGCGTCGCAGCCTTTTCTTTGCGCCCATCTTCAAGCCTCAAGCAGAGAGCCTCTCCGAGGCTGGCCCATGGCTGGCACGAAAACATCGTTCTTTGGGGAGCGTGTGGCTTCGGCCTCACGTGTCTTCCGTTTGCTTTTTCGCCCCCCTGGAAAAAAAAGAGAAACTACAGCATGTTTAGTAGTGAAATCGACTCCCTTTAACACCAAAAGAGGAGCTTCTCGATCCTTTCAGCAAATGGAAGGTTTTGTTTCGCAAATCGACCGACTGCACCGATCTTGCTATCTCATAGCTGCAGCTCGCGCTCTGCGGCGGTCAACATCGAACCTCACCACAGGCTGCCTGCACGAGGGACACAAGGCATTGCGGTTCATCACCTCCCGAACGCACTGCTCGCAGTATTGCCAATGGCCACAGGGCTGCAAAAGAACATTTGGTGGGCGGTGCAGGCAAATGCCGCATTCTTCGCTCTCAACTTCCTGCAGTTGCACGCTCCCGTTGGCATCAACGAAAATCACATCCCCGCGAGAAACCCTCTGGTTGATTTTAATGCTTCTTGATGGGTCCTTGATGGCAAGCACAAACATTTCATCGTTGTCTGACAGCGTTGGAGGGTTGAGCTCTTCTGCCATCCCCGCATCGACCAGGCACTTCCGCACGCCAATGCCCAAAGTAGCGCGCCACCAATGATGGGTATCCCAAAGACTCGGGAAGCGCAACTGATCGTCATTGCGCACGGAGGCTGTGACGGCGTTTGCTGATCTATTGTAAATTGATATGGGCAGTAGCTTTGAGTTGGCTGCTTTGTCTCGCAATGCCCATTCCCTGGTGCCGTAGGCAGCCGCTGCAAGAGCAAGAAATCCCACTGCTGCAGCTCCAGCAGCAATACCTACAGCAGCCTCAACTGGGAGGGAGGCGGTTGTGGCCACTGTGGCAGTAGTGGATCCCCAGGGAATGAACCCAAGAAGGTAGGTCGGTGTAGTCACTGTTGTGAGCGTAGTTATGCTCGCAGCACCTGCTGCAATGCCTGCCGGCACGGCGCCAGCCACCGCACCAATTGCACCACTCCCACCGATGGCTGCAACACCCTGCCGGACCTGCGAACTACGGGATACTTTGCCGGGCTCCCAGCACTGCCTCACGAAGTGTTCACAATTGTTGGTCAAAATGCGAAACTCCCACACCGCACCGACCTGCTCACGGGCACGCTTGAGAATGCCCCGCGCCTCTTCCTGCGAAGAGGGAGTCCTAACAACTTGAGGTCGCACTGAGAAATCCTGCTCAAACTGTCTCTTCCCGGTTCGAGCCACCGTCCACTGACCAGGATGGATTTTGTCTTCCACGACATGCACATATTCCTCCCTATCGCGGTCAAATATCGCATGATGATCGAATGAAATGTGTCTCTTACTCATTGAGCCGCTAACGTTGCCGTTGCTCGTCCTGCCAGACACCACTGACATGTGCAAGCACGGCATGATACCCGCGCTTGCTCTTTTCAGATCATACTCCCGACGACGATAAAACGCCTCTGCCCTCACATCCCCAGCAGCCATTGCCATGGCGGCAGGCGATGTTCTACAAGCCGAGTGTATAGGCCCTCACTCTAGTCCTTATGCAAAGCTGGCATTGGCAAGCCGAGTAAAGCAAGAGTTGCAAACATTGCAGCACGGCTCAGGTTCAAGTGTCTAATGAACAACTGCCGCGCGACTCGAGGACAAGCATAGAGCCGACATTCAAGACCATGAGCGCCACGAATAGACTCAAACATTATTCTTCTGTCAAAAACGGGCCTCGGTACCCCTTTTTGTGCTGTGAAAAGACACCAACAAGAACACCATTTCGGGGAGTCCGGACAGCTTTGCCTTCAGCTTCACTTCGCCCCAGAAGCGTTGCCTTCAGCTTCACACGCACACACCATTTGAGATTTAGGAATCGGACCCCGCAAAAGGCGCAAGGGTTTCCTTTGAGTTTCCCTTACCAAAAGAAATGGGCATCCTCCAAAGACCCACACACAAAAATCATTTGGGCCGGAGGGCTCCGCGTGGTTGCTAGTGTATTGAGAGACACTTTTTTAGAAGACTCATGTATCTTCGCAACCGTATGGGAGCCAACAACTGTGTGCTTTTTGCAGCGCCTTTCGAAGAATTGGCAGAACCAAAAAACAAAACAACAAAATACCAACAGATTGCCAAGAACAGTGAAGCCATACGAGTTGGTCTCTCAAAAAAGCGTACCCTGTGGTCGAATCGATATGTTTCCCTTGAACACACTTCCCTTGGCTGAAGCACCAGCCAGTGATGTGAATAAGTATAAAACTATCTCTGAGAATACGGCATGATTCAGGGGCCCAGGGGGAAAGGACAGCCGAAGGGTACCCATTAAAATAACGGGGTACCCGCCAACCCGCCAGGACAAAGGTGACACCTCTGCATGCTTCCAATTCTTTCCAAACCTGAACCCAAAAGGCAACCCACTGAAAAACAAGCAAAACCACACACAAACACATGTGTTGATATGCTGGGATTTGCTTAAGCCCCCGGGAAAAAATGAAAATATTTCCAGTAGTGAAGTCGATTCCCTTTAAAACCAACAAAGGGGAAGAAAAACATATATACATTCTTAAGCAACTGGAAGTACACAAATTTGTGTGATGCGTGTGGATCTCGGCTTCACGCCTTCCGACACGGGGGGAACCGGGCGCAAGGCGCCGGACGGCGCCTGGCTGAGCGCCGCTGAAGCGCTGTGCAGCGTCGCTGCATCGGCGCCGCAGGGGCAGGCCGCGGCCTGAGGCGAAGGCTTCCACGCGTTGGGTGGCGTTGCTTTTGTTGCCCACGTGATGTTTCAACCATTTCAAATGGGTGTGTCTTTCTGAGACCCCAAAATGATGGTGTTTGGTTTTCCCTTAAAACCTAGGTCCTCCAGATTGGACTGACCCTATACACCATCCCCGGGCCTCGGATTCCTTTCTTCGGGCATCCCGAAAAAACGGTGCATTCCATTTCTCATTCCCTACCTATCTCAGCAACAAGAAGAGCCGAGGACCCCCAAATGGGTGTGTCTTTCTTAGACCCAAAAATGATGGTGTTCATTTCGTTTCCCCTTTGTTGCCTAGGTCCTCCAGATTTGAGAGGTTGGAAGAAGGGGACCAAGTTTTCTCTGTTTTGTCTATTTTAGTAGGGGAACCCTCCCCCAAAAAGGGGTAAAAGGGCACTACTGGGGGACCTAGTTGCAGAAGTTCCTAGTGTGGATGGTGGCGAAATCCATTAACTGGAACCAATCTACACATGTTCATCTTTGGGTTGGACTTTTGAAACCATGGTTGAAACCATATCGCTTGTTGGTATGGCCAAGGGAACCGAATCATCCCCGGATTTCTTAGGTGGTGCGAAATGGATTTCGCAACCATCCACAGTACCAGTCTCAGTCTTGGTTGCCCCTTAGGGACCCAAGCAAAGCAGAAGCATTACTGTGCCCCAAGTGGTGTTCTCAAAATTGGCAAGACCAGGATTCTCTAAGCATCACACCAAAAGTGCAATTCGCAAAGGGGACGGAACATGTTGTACTTTCATGGAAAATTGGGTTGCCCCCAGGCAGCTTTGAAGTTGGGAGCTGGAAAGGCTGGAGCGCCGCATGCCGCATGTTAGCTCGAACTGAACTGGCCACGCCTCAAACATAGATCCTTCCCCCGAACTCTCACAGCAAAAGAACCACTCCTGCAAAAAGAAGTGCACACTTTTTGGGCCACCACTAAAATAAATGGAATGTCACCAAGGAAAAAAAGGAAAAGTGCGCCAGCTGGCTGGGTGAGCTTCTTCTTGCATCCCGACACGCGGCCAGCACTTGCCACAACAGGGGAAAATTGGCCACGTACGCCCCAGTTCCCGGCATGGGTCGCCTCTTCTGGCAGCCAGGCGCCGCAGGCGCAAAGCAGCACGCCCTGCGCCTCCTGCGCTATCAAATAATGAGGACTGCATTTTCACCCGTGTAGAAAAAAACGAGTCCCCTGCAAAGGGAGGGCCTTTCGTTTTAGGGGGGCTCTCATATCTGCCTTTGGGGGGCCCATTATTTTGGTTCAGGGGCCTTTAATGTTTGCCAGCTTCAAGGGGGCAACCCTGGCAGACTGAACACTAAAGTGGCGTTGTGGCAAGTCGCCATCACTTTGCTTAAGCCCCGTGGACAACATGTTAAACATGTTAGTCGGCACTAGGTCCCCTTGAAAACCAAGAGAACCCCATCCAACCATAGGTGTCCTTTTGGGACAACACAGATGGCCCTTGCAGATTATGAAGCAACCAGATCAACCATCGTCCGGACCCCACAAGTCAGACTTAAAATCGAGGTGTTCCTTCCTAAACGGGGAACCCCCTGGTCCTCCGGCTTTGTCCGAAGTCAGTGAAAGACTCGCCGGCGCGGCAGGTTAACAATGAGAAATGGACTGACCCCATCTACACCATCCCCGCATCGGACTCCTTTTGGGAATCCCTACAGGTGCACTCCATTCCTCCTAGGCCATCCAGTAGAGAGGTTAGAACAAGGGTACCCTTTTGTCTGCAGTCTATTTTCGTAGGGGAACCCAAAACCAACCGGGAACCCAGCTGGGGGACATAGGAGCCCAACCCACCCAAACGCCACCCCCAAATTCGGCGCGTGCCACCTCGCGGCAGCGCGCGCAGTCGCAGTCGAAGCCCTTGTGCCGCAGCTGCTCCGATCGCGCGGCCAAGGCGTCGCTGACCGGGACGTAGGAAATCAGCACCTCCGCGGCCTCCTGGCAGAGCCCCAGCCTTCAGGTCTCCTCTGACTCGGCTTCCCTCGTTGTTTGGTTGTTTGGAGCCTGGTGGCTTGGTCCTCCCCTCATCACGTAGTCAAGCTTGCCAGGTGTTCTCAAAGCTAAAATCCTATTTAGCGGCCCCAAAAGGTGAACCTGTTATTTGTAGTTGTTTAGGGGCAACTTGGTGGTTTGGATTGGTGGCTCGGGGATTTGAATCGCTGGTTCTTGTAGAGGGTAAATTGGGACACCCCTCCTGAGCCAAATTCAGGAGTCACTCCTGCCACCTTGAGAACCCTGCAGAATGAGCAGGATAAGGCCTGCTTACGTCAAGCTCCCGATCAGCCTGTATGTAGTAGTAAAGGAAATCCACGACGCTGCCAAGCCTCTGCTACCGCGCAGCTTGCAAGATGCCCGACTCAACGGAAGTAGTCAGAGACACAGAGAGACACAGTGCATCTTTTTCCAAGACCCCTGCTGCTTTGGCAGGTCCACTCCAGGCATTTGCAAGACCCCTGCTGCTTTGGCAGGTCCACTCCAGGCATTTGAGGAACCTGTGCATGGAAAACCCCGCTTGGTTGGCAGTTCCCCGTTCCCCAGAAGGTGATTCCAAACGGAACAAGCTCCTGCGAGGGTGACGCTGGGTCCTGAAAACCAGTCAAACTACAACTGGCCAACGAACATTCCTAGTCTATGCAAAGCTCTCTGTTTTGTCCGGCCTGACCCCAGCCTGTTGATGTCTTGCAGGTGGCCGTCTCTGTGTCTGCGTGTCTCTGTGTCTCTCACTCATTTTACAGGGCAACTTTTGGGTGGATGCCGCTTTGCCCATTGCCAGTTGGCTGTGGGTCAAAACTGGTACCATTTTGGGGTAGGTGCACCACCCAGTTTAGTCTATTTTAGTGGGAATTGGGATGCTCACTGGGGGTACGATTTCGATTTTGACCCATGGCCAGTTGTAGTGGGAACCCCGGATCTTCTCCAGAATTAGCTCCCCTCTTTGATCTGTTTTCGGCTTTTTTTGGGGGTCCCCCTTGGTTTTGACCATTGGGCCCAGTTTTCTTGGCCGCTGTGCCCCCCCCTCGTCTCCTGGATCTCCGTCAAGGCCCGGACCACCGCACAGCTCCGGGAGCAATCCACGAAGGCGTTGGGGAGGCAGCTGTGGTTCAGCCGCGCCACGCCCAAGAAGAGCGCGCACCACTCCACCTGCGTGCCACGAATGGAATGGGCCTATCCGCTTCCATGGGCTTGGTTGCTGCAACGACCCCCCTGCAAAACGTCTTAACTTGTTTGGGGGTTTGGTGGAAAACACCTTGATCTCCCAAGTCGAAGTCCAAAGATCCAACCCAATAGCAGTCAAGTGGGGAGGGGCCTTCTGCATCCCTTCACGCTCATCGGGCCTTGTTATATGGAGGGTCATTCTCGGCTATCCAGTGACAAACCTCTCTATGGCCCCCCCCTTTAGGGTCCATGAAGCTTCCCTACAAGGAGTTCTGAACCTCAGAAGATCAAATAAGGGGCCGGGCCGAGGCTCAGGTGCGCAACTGTCCACGAATCATAATGGCCTGCAAAAGGACTCCTTCAGAGCTTTTTCTCAGGCCCTGTCCAGCCAAACTGGCGGTCCATACCCAGGTAGGGATGCCGTCCATTTGCACACAATGTAGCGGCAATGCAACACCTGGTGTTGTTGACCCCTTCGCAGAACAAGTAAAGCTTAAACTAATCATTTACGGTTGCCCGAGGTGCTACCAACTTTCAAGAAAAGTGTCATGGCATGTGTCCTTGCAAAGCAAGAGGGGAAGACAAGAATCGCTTTGCGTGAGTGGAAGTCTGTCAAAAGAAAGAAACAAACATTGCGGACCCCCTTGACCGCACAAATTGAACAATTGAAGGGTTCCCGCCAAATCGTTCCACAGATTTCCCAATGTACACCGTTCTGCCCGTCCCAGAAAAGCAATCGGTGACCCAATCGATTCGGGTGCAAATCAAAAAAAGCGGACCCTAGAGGTGTCCGTGATGTCTTTAAAGGTTTATCAATTTTTACTGATGGGTTACACCGAAACGATCGCCACTTTTGGAGGCTCCAAAAAACGATACGGAGGAATCCCTGCAGTGTGAACTTCCCTCAGCTGGGAGTCGTTTACGCTCGGCCAAGGTTGGAAGCTCGGGCTTGGAGCTGTACTGAGTACTAGGGTTGTAGGGATCCAAAAATGGTTGCTATCCTCGGGTTTTCCTTGGTTTCCGTTTTCCGTTCAAGATCCAGACTTCAGGGCGCCCTCCAAACAAAGAAGCGCTCAAATGAAGCCGTCATCTCACGATCTGCTTTTTTTGCTCCCGAGCGGCGTCTCGAGTTGCATGAAAAACGTTGTTCTGGATCTTGCCCAGCACGTCGTCAGAACCAGCGCCGTGCGTTAAGGCCATGACCTGCAACGATTGCATGCCCTGACCCCAACGTTTTTTTTGATGCCTGGCCAACTCTTTGTATAGTAGCAAGCAAAAAATGTTTGCAGCCCCCCCCACTAAACATGAGCACAACCAAACAACCTAAAACTCAAAAACACGCAAGCAGTGAAGCGTTCATGTTGCTGTTTTGTTTGGCGTGCGGAAGCCACCAAACAAAGAAGCACATGGGCAGCACTGAATCACGAGCTGTGAGATGACTGGAAAAATGTCTACTTCGTTTGGAGGACACCGCTTTTCCATGTTGCACAAGTGAAGGGTCCTCTGCACCTGCGCTGATTGCGTGATTGCGAAACTTGGTTGCTGATGATTCCTCTGCAACAAGCTTACACTTTTTGTGGTCCAACGGAAAATCCACTGTTTCCCGAAATGTCAAAGTCCAATCAAAGATCCAACCAAATAGCCGTGAAGTAAAAGGGTGTGTGTTTGACAACCAAATTTTAGGGTCCTTCATTATGGGTCCCAAAGTCGCGTGTCCCCCAATCGATTGATATACAAACCTAGGTCCTCCAATAGAGAGGTTAGAATAAGGATATACCCTTTTGTTTGTAGTCGATTTTTTAGTAGGGGAACCCTCCACCAAAAAAGGGTAAAAGGGCACTACTGGGGGACCTAGAAACACATCTCCACATGTTTGATACCAAAGTGGGCTTTGCCCATGACTAAAATTGAAATCAATTCAAATAGGATTCCGCTATCACAGGATTGACTTCAGCCTCAAGCCCCAGTCTCTGCACAAATCGCGCTGCTTCTACAACCAAACAAACACTAGAGCTTGTGCTCCTGGTAGGGTGGTTCCCCTGCGAGGATTCATCGCAGTTAAAGAGGATTCCTCCAATGGTCATCCGTTTTGTTTAGTTTTCCAAGCCTCACATCACGCGAACCAACAGCAAATCAAACAAAACAAGACAAGCTCGCTTTAAAACGGGGTACACCGTTACACCAAACATATGTGTAAATTCCGGTGCATAGTTGGTCAACCTGAACATGAACAATCTTTAAGATGACCCAAGGTGCTTGTTCTTGGACCTTCCCCGCACCAAAACGATTCGGATCCGTTGGGCGCCTCACTGCCCTCACCCACTTGTGCCGCCAGCTGAGCTACGTCCTCCTCCCCCACGAGCGCCGAACATCGCGCGCGGTCGAAGAGAAGCGCCTGCGTTGCTTCACGCGACTCGCAGGGTTCACCCGCATCTAGCACAAAAGCGGGCACTCCCCCGGCAAAGTGCTCAGCTTCCATGATTGTCAGAGGAAGGGGTAAGTATATAGTTGCTTTCTATGTCGAAATAGGGATTTTGGTTTTTCCCCAAAAAACTTGGCTGGAATTAGGACCCCAGCAAAACAAAAAAATGTTTGAAAAAGGGGAGCTAATTCTGGGCAAGAAAATAGGTGGCTTCCTTTTGGCTCCCCTACCCTGAAAACGGGTACCCTCGACAAAGACACAAATCCAGGATCTGTTAAGGGGCCCTGTGCGAGAGTGAAGGAAAAAGCCACACATGATACCACTGAACTCACAACATCTTCGTTCGCGAAAAGAGCTGGGCCGAACGCTGTGTAAGTCATGGTTTGGACACCCCCCGACTCCAAATACCCACTCTTTTCAGGGTATCGGTTTGAAGGACCCGGCTTCTTTAGGGGTGACATGCCTTATGATACTCTGAAAGAAAGGTGGGTAATTAAGGGGGATCAGTTCAATCATGATGCCTTAGCCTTCCTGGCAGGTGGCCAACCGCGGCATGTCCCACTGTCAGTGCCCGTCGGAGCTCCGCCAGTGGGTGCAACAACACGCGAAGCTGCCCAACCCCACACTCAGTTGCCAGGAGCTAGAGATAAAGGGTAGACCCCGGCTGTCTGCTGTCACAGTGGAACCCAGTGGAGGCTCTGGTTTCTGGATCGTGGCAAACAAGGGTTCCCACGATAGTTGTCCTTGAAGCATCACCTAAACCAACGAATGCTCCCTGGTGATCAAATGTTGCAACAATGATCAAGATTATGGACCGAATCAGGGAAATTAAAAAATAAAAGGTAGATCCGCCTGAAGCAAGTGGGTGCAACGAATCCCTTTTGACCATGAACTCATACTCAGCGATCTCTTCGAACCCAAAACCTGACCTTGAGGCCTAATGTTAACTTCGGATACATCCGGACCGCTCGAATCAGGGCTCCGGATTCCGAAGATCATAGCAAACCTCATACCGATCCATTTTATTAGAACAGTCGCGCCTCGCCCCCTACATTGCACCTGCAAGGATGCTTTTAGATGCCACTCTTTTGGGCCTGGTTTTAAGGGGAACCTATATAGGGACCCCGGTCTGGTGTCACGTGGCTAACATGCTGGGCCTGGCACTTTCCGGAGCCTGCCTGTAGGACAACTAAATGGCTATGTCTGGAATTCAGGCAACCTCGAAATTGGCTGCTGTTGCTGTTCGGTTAGCCTTTCAACTCCTTAACTCCTTGTTCCCTGCTATAACCATTGGAAAGCATGGCACCCCCCAAACAAACACACACCCACATCAAGTGACCCCATCCCGCTCTAAGCAAAACCCACGCCGAACACACAAGAGCGACCCCATGCCGCTCGTGTTTTCGCCAAACCCCCCGCCTCCCCTCGCTTGATCCGCCGGACCGCGCAGTACCCCAAGCCGCGCTCCGGGATCTCGGCGAGGCGCACGCCGTAGAGCCTGGTGAGCTCCTTGGAGCGCAAAAATGGCTCGGTGAACCCTCGGTTTCCCTTTCAGACATCACGAAAAACAAGGTCCTCCAGTAGAGGGGAGAGAATAAGGGTACCATTTTTTAGTCTATTTTAGTAGGGGAAAAAAGTTGGTAAAAGGGCACTACTGGGGGACCTAGATTGGTGTCCTTTTCAAACATCCCCAAAAAAGCGCTCTCAACACAAACCCGGCAAAAACTAGAAACATGAAGAGCATTTTTGTTAATGAACGAACATCGCACCAGTTGATGGGAGGGTTTCTCCCATTCCTGGGAGGTTCATTCCCGTTTCATCCAGCGTCTGTCAAAAACCCGTCAGCTTCCTTCCTTAAGCAAACGGGTAAAAGTATATTTCCAGCAGTGATAGATCTCTTAACCAACAAGGGAAAATAACACATATTCTTACGCAACTGGAAGGATTCGTTTGGAGGTTGTGCTCTGTTACTCCAAGATCCTGGTGGGGCAGGCTTTGTTGGGCCCTGAGAAAGGGAAACCAAAGGTCCAGGCGTCAAGTCTCCACCTCCGACCCCGATTGTTGCTTAATCCACCGTTAGTGGTTTGGTTGAATGGAAAGTCCTTGCCAAAAAAGATCACCCTGCACGAAACCGTTGAGAGAAACAACCATGTAACAACAAAAGTGAAGAAATCGAGAGACAAAGACAAACAAAGAATGAGGAAAAGCGCTAAAAGGGGGAGACCCGACCAGGCTGCCTCACTCTGGCTTATTCGCCGGAGTTGGCTGTTCCTGCCAATTTACCAGGCTGGAATTAGGACCCCAGCAAAAAAATATCTATGTTGCCTGGTTAGTGGAAAACAAAGGGACGCCAAAAAAGCAAAACAAAACAAAATAACGGGGAGCTAATTCTGGGGAAGTGTATGGCCACCAGTGTCAAAACGTTCCGCAGACATACAGCCTAGCGGCGCCATGCTGGATCATGTGCCTGAGCAGGCTTGCGAAATAGTTTTTTGTTGAATGCTTAGCTCCTCAAACAATCGTCCAAGTCGAATGTCGCTCATTTTTAGGTTGCACATGAGGGAGCTTTGCCGCAACATCAGTATGGCCGGCAATTCACATACAACAGCTGGGTTCACAGAAAATGCGGACAGGGCTTGACAAAAAGAGATCCGGATTGTGAATCAAGCCATTTGTTGCCCTTCCAGTTTGAGCAAGTTCATCCCTTGAGCCTGGAAAGCACAGCTTCTGCGCCAACGAAAACAAGGTTCAAACACATGGAGCTTTGTCTTGGGGCGGGTGCGCCGAATATGTCAATTTTGATCGACGATGCTCTCGTTGCCCAGTGGCACGACTTTCACACGCCACCTAGTTGGTTGCAGAAGGGCGCTTGTGTGCAAGTTGGGCATCAAAACACCTTCCGAAATCTATATTGACCCATTCTGGGACAAGAAGGATTGAGTCACAACTGGAAACAAATCAAACGCGTCAGTGCACAGGGGAGGACGGCTCTCTTCCGTTGCTTTGGCCAAGTGAGTATATTCTCTCAAAGGCCGACAGCAGCGCAATCCACTCAACCACTCAGCAGAGTATATATATATATATATATGTTTTCCCGAAGCAACCTGTGGACGCTCCAAAACTGGAAGAAACGGAGCAAGGGAACCCCCAGTTTGATGCCCCCTAGCTCTGGGAAGGGCCCTTCTGAGGATAGGGTGAAACAACATTCACCGCCCTCGCCCCCCCCCCAAAAAAAAACACTTGGGCCTTTCCTGCAGGTTTCGTGGGCTTCCTTAGCGTGGGTATGTGCAAGGGGGGCGGGGGCAATATAAAACGGTGATTTTCCTGTTGGGTTTACAGGGGCTAAAAGAGTTCGCAAACATATCATGCCCCAAAGAAACGTAATTTCAATCAGTTGCAACATAAGCGTGCACGTGAGCGTGAATGTTACTTGTTGGGGCCCTTTGGTGGACATCAGTTAGATGGGGATTCATGTTCACCAAGCACTGTTCACGAGCTTTGGCAGTTCCCCAGCCACATTCACAGCCATATTTTCTTTTTTAAAATCACCCCACCAATGGAAACTCAATTTAACTTTGCCCAAGTGATGTTTCAACCACAGATGGGTTTGTCTTTTTTGCGGACCCCCCAAAATGATGTTCATTTCTAGGTCCTCCAGTAGAGGGTTAGAATAAGGGTACCATTTTTTAGTCTGTTTTAGTAGGAGAACCCAACCCCCAAGAAAGTTGGTAAAAGGGCACTACTGGGGGACCTAGATTGGTGTCCCTTTCAAACATCCCCAAAAAGGCGCTCTCAACACAAACCCGGCAAAATCTGGAAACATGAAGAACATACTGTTTATCAGCGAACATCGCACCAGTTGATAGGAGGGTTTCTCCCATTCCCGATTTGGTTTCCCCGTAAAACTTTTTCGAAGATGGGCGACTCATTTCAACCGCTGAAAGCTCGCCGCGCTGCTCCAACTCTGCTGCCTCTGGGCCGCCAGGGATCGACATCTCCGCGATCCGCGTGGAATCGAAATCGGAATCTGGATTCCGCCGAAATGGGGCGGCTAAGCCCCCAAAATGGATTTCGATGGATGTCGGCGTCCTGTTGGCTTCCCTTTTTCCACCACCAAAAAAGGGGTACCCACGAAAATGCACACTGGTTCATGCTCAGGTTTGTATGTTCCTGCTGGGTGTCCTCAAGTGACTCAAATCCTGGTTCTGTTTTGACTTTGTTTGACAAGCTGCCGGCTTGCCACATGCCCCTACAACTTGTGGCTTCCTTTTGGTCTGGCGGCAAAGGAAATGCTTTGAGTTGCCAATCAGCTAAACGACGTTCTGTACAGACACATTGGTTGTTGGCCCATGCAAGTCTAAGCTTGGCCCAAAAGCTGAGAGCTCGGGGCCCGTGGTGCGTCCATGGCCAGCGCCCGAAGACTGTCTGACGCCAGTTGAAATTTCTCCTCACCTTGGTGCCTCGAACCTAAATCATGTCCACCAAAGGATCCAACCAATTAAACATGCATACACCTGCCCAGTGACTATGGGCCAAAAAGGTGAACCCTCGAAACCCAAAGGTAAACTTACTAACCCTAGCCCAGCCTTTGGCTCAAACCCATACCACCCCCCTCTCGCTTCCCGACCTGTCGAAAGCAAACTCATTTTTCTGCCTCGCCGCTCTTTAGCTGCAGGCGCAGCCAGCGCGCCCCGCCCGTCTCCGGGAGATACCTGGAGAAATAAAACCCATCCCGCGCCGAGTTGAACGACCCAACAGGTTTATTTCAAGTCTGAGGCTGGAAGTTGCTTTCAGGTGCTCGGTTGCCTTTGTGCGTGGCGTTAGCCGGAGTTTGCGGAGTCGGGGGTGAGGACAATTAACTGCTCGAAGTCCACACATGCCAAGGGGCTAGCGGATTCCAACAAGCCTACTCAATCGGCATTATGTTTTCTAAACCGCTGTTTGCACTGGAGAAAAACACAACATCACCATGCCCTTCTTGTATGTTGTTAAGCCAAAAAAGTTTGCACTGCATCCATATTTTTCCTGATGTTGTTTGCTCAATGCAACTCTGGCAGCGCGAGTTGCATTCAATATAGCTTTCACTGGCCTCATTCTTTTACCATGATCAAAGTCACCCCGGGAAACAACCACATTTTCTGAATTTGACAACCCCAGAAACAGTCAAAGTAGTGACCCCAGTTTCAACCTAATCAGACTCCTCGAAACCTGAGCCAATTGTTTCGGATCCCCGGCTCAAAGTGAGTAGCTAGTGGGGTTACCCTTCCAACATGGAAAGGAAAGCCCCCTTCCCAGAGGAAGGTAGTCTAGGTCCTCCAGATTTGAGAGGTTAGAATAAGTTGGTACCAACTTTTTCAGTTTTGTCTATTTTAGTAGGGAACCCTCCCCCAAAAAAGGGTAAAAGGGCACTACTGGGGGACCTAGAAGGGTACTACTGTCGGACCTAGTAGTCGTTCTACAGGGTCCGCGCACTTGCATGCCAGCCGGTGGGAGGGCAAATGGCAACTACCAGTAAGAACGACTGCAAAGCAAAGGAACCGGATGCCTGGGGCTCCCAAGTAACCTAGGGATTGATTCTGATCATCGAATCACAAGGCACGGTAAACAAGGGACATGGGATGGTCCGAAGTCCGTTTCTCCTCCAAAGGAAAAGTTTTAACCCCAAACCCTAGGCCAAGATGTCTCAAAGGATTTTGAGGGGTCTTGGATGCCGACAAATTGATCCTGCTTTTAGGGGGGGATTGTGGGGGAGAGGACTCCAGTCATTTGCATTGTTCGAGTCTTCTTGCTTCGGCAAATGAAACTCTCTCCTCTTCCAATTTCAACTGAGTGCGTGATGCTGACCACGGATTTAAAAAAACCCGTCCTATTATTACTGGGTGGCTCCCTAAACCATGGAAACAAACGGATGTCGTCCATCAACAGTAGTGTTCTCTCCATCAGGAATGGACCCCCGGAGCAAACACCCCCCCCGAATAATCAACCAGCCAGATCCCATTATGGGGGTCCCGAAGCTTTCGTGCCAGCAAAACCCTATTGCATGCTGCCTCCTACGCACCAGACAAACAACCTGAGCCACTCGGAAGAGTTGCGCCGCCTTTTTCTTCGCCGCTTTCCTTCGCATCTTCGAATCTTTGCGGGATACGCCCGGTCCCAAGCCCGGGTGGCAAGCATAGGCCCAATTGAGTTTGGATCTTTGGGTCGATGCGCAAGCCACCCGGCCCGACGTGTTGGCACGCTTTGCAATGGGAATCCAGGATAAATAACCCTGGAGTTGATTAGATAAGGGGTGTCCCGTTTTAGTGGGGGTTCATCACTTTTGGACCTCCCCCATGAATAGAATGGTGCTATTTCTCCGCGGTTCCCATTCCACGCCTAAGGCAATGCCCAGATTGATTCCCCCGCGCGCAGGGAAGTGCATCAAGACCGGCGCCGCAACGAATTCGAAGAAAACATGTGCACTGGGGCTGGTCTTCATGGCTAGCCCATTGCGAAGGGGGGGCCCTTGAAAAAGGAGGCTCTCGTCTAGGTCCTTTTGGAACGCCGTCCAAGAGAAGCTCTGGCTGTTGGGGTCCGTTTCCGGTGAGTTTCTGTCTCAACACCAGAAGGCGGGAGCTGAGTTTTGGAGAGAAATCCTCACATGGACATTTGGCAAGCGGTCAAAACTGCGGCTCAGTCCTGTTCTTCCTTGACAGCCGAAGCCGAAAGCAACGTCATGCAAACGCCTTCGTGGGCGTGCGCCTTTGCCTTTGCTTGGAGGTCCCGGCCTTACAGCTTAGGCCTTCAGAGCTTGGGGTCTGGTCTCAGGGAGCCCTGCAGGAATCTGCAACTGGCACTAGGAAAAACAACTGAAGCGAAAAAGGGTGTTACCTACGCCATTCAGGCCAAATCACGATTCAACGGTGGCTTGTTTTACCCGCGGTACATGAGATTGCGAACGAGTTGGTGCAATGAAGCTATTTGGGCTCTGGAGGCAAGGATTCCTTTGGAGGTTTCAGCTGGGTCCCAACTACCTCCAGATGAAAGGTTTACCTGCCTTCACCCAAGATCACCCAACATGGAACAGGAAGGTAAAAAAGGTACCTATATGGACCAGTGAGTCAAAAGGACTGCAACTTTTCTCCTACAGTGACCAAACTACTGGAGCCTTTCAAGTTCGGTTTGAATTCCAATAGGTGGGCCATGATTTAAGGCGACCCTCCCATTTTGGCGATGTGTTTTCTCCTTAACCCTCGAAAAGGGAGTACCAAAGTTCCAAAGGCTGAACGTTTTTGGTTGGACAAGTCAGTTCATTGAGCTTACGAAGCAAATCCGCCAGGTGGCCGAAGACTAACAAGTCGCATTGTTTTTTCTCTTTCGAGGGTGGGCGGTATCATGTCAACCCATGACCAAAAAATAACTTCCATACAAAGCCAAGTAAAACCAGGCTTTTCCGGCTAAACCCGCAGAGAAAGCAGGTTTTCTCTTGAGTGGCTAAGCCCTTCTGGACTCTCCAAGCAGGTCTCCTTGCTCGCTCGCCCTCATTGCTCGCAGGGCACCTGCGAAAAACTGGGCTACGGCAGTCAGTTTAATTAGATCCGCGACAAGGGACGACAACTTTTAGCGGGTTGAATGCGGAAACCCAACCGCTAAACACTACAAAGCTGAAAAGCTAAGGGACCGTGGGAAATGGGATCCACTTCTGTGATACCCTGCAAGTTTGCTTCCCAAAGACTAAGCCTCAGGTGACGAGCAACCTGCCTTCAAGCATGAGAATGTTTTTGGGTAAAGCCCTTTTCCCGAACAGCTGAAAGCTATGAGGTTGATAGAGAGGCTCTGGGGTGGCTCGGAGCAGCTTGCAGGCAGGGTTTTGGAGAGGGTTCCGGGGCTATTATTGGGGATGTCACCTGGGCTGACTTTTTTGTGTGTACCGGTACCCTTCTTTGGGTGGGTTCAAGAGGAGGCCAAAGAGAAACCACATGTTGGGGTCCCTATTTTAAGACTCATCCCAATGGCCGTACGCCCTGGAGCAAAAAGGGAAAGCACGTAGTCTCACTTCCGACGTAGATTGGCCAAAACAGTCCAGAAACTCGGGAGTGATAAGTACTCGCTTCTGCCATTTGACCATGGACCCGTTATCAGTTGACCCGTTGACAGAAAATCGGGAGCTTCTTCAACAGCTCCACACGAGTCAAAATCAAAACCTGGTGTAAACATGCTTGACCCAGAACCATGTAAAGATTTAAGAAGGCGGCCGCAGCGATTTCTGGCTGGGATCGTCCCTTACTAACCTTCATCTACCCGGGCTTTGATTGTGGGTCACATGTCAACAACTCGTGGGTTAGATTAGGGGACCCCAATAGATCACTTCGGTTTCTCTTGCTGAAAAGAACGCTGCCCCCCGTTACCCTCAACAAACACACCCAACATTTAAGTAAGGGTGCTTGATGTTCAACAAAGAAAAAGGGGCACTCGGACAAACACGGTGAAAGCCAGATTTAAACAACGCCTGCCGCTAGAGAATTAATTCGAACGCGGGTGTTTCTTTGGATGCAGTAGTCTGATCGACGATGGCTTTCGTAGTTATTACTTCTGTTTGAGCAAAGTGGTTCACGACTCCCTCCCCGAAAGAGAGCAGCCAACGCCAAGGAGAAAGGTGTCAGGAAAAGCATCTTGTAAGTCCTACGTTGAGACCCGAGAAACGGCTCTCACCGCTATGTCCCTGCTTCGTCTTTCTGCACAAGCCGGCGCCTTCTAGAAACACCCGAGGCTGAAGCAATTGGAACTTCATCCTGTAGCTTCCACAAGGCACTCTTAACACATAGGGGAAATCTGGCCTGTTTCAACCAAAAGTTATAGTCCAAAGATCCACTGCCAAATAGCCATACAACCTATTGGCAGTTGATATTCAAGGGATACCCCTCAACAAACAAGCTGAAAAAGGAAGTAGCCAATCCACTTGCAGCTGTTTTCGGAATTGAGACCAATCCGCCAAAACGGCTGCCGACAGTGCGACATCCCTACATCTAAAAGCTTGAAATCTTTCACTTAAGCATCACCCCCACCAAGGGATACTCACCTTTCATGCCAAGCAAGTGATGTGCAAAATCACCAACCATTGGGACATAAAGGAATCGACCACTGGAAAAGGGGCCAAGCCAAAGTGCAAATCAGGAAGAAAGGCCCCTGACCCTTTGGTGGTTTCCATTGACCGATCGTTTCACTGTTGGAGGTTCTCTTGAAAGGGACATGGCATCGGTATTAAACCAACCCCAAAATCTTCATTTGCGTGGTCGCTCCTTGGAAAACATGAGAACATGCATCCAGTAGTGAAAGTGATTCCCTTTAGAACCAAAAAGGAAAAACATATTCTTGAGCAAAAGATAGTTAGCCCTTCACCTGCTGGCAAGCAACCTGCAAGAGCACAGCTCGAAGCTCGCGCCAAGCCTGCGCCCCTTTTCACTGCCAATCGGCACAGCATGCGACGCTTCAAGTTTGCCAGCGATCCCCTCAGCTCCTCTTGCTCTTCCCCTTCTTTCCTTGCCCTGTGCTCCCATCTCCTTCTGCTGCTTCAGCCAGGCCACCGCCTTGCTGAAGGCCTTCTCCGATTCCTTTTCCCCGGGCTGGCTGCCTGCCGATTCCTTGGCTGCGCACGTCAGCGACGCCCAATGGCGCCTTGGGCCGAAAGACCGGCAGCTCCCCCTGGGAGCTGCAAACCTTCACGCTGCGAACC